TTACATGTTGTGGCTTGCTAGGGCATATTAACATAGCTGTGAATGTGGATATTCGCGTCATCTCATGCATGCACTTATACAACTTATACTTCTAATTCCTTATGAATTCTCAGAATATTCAAAGTAAAAGTCTTAAAGTATTCATTATAATGAATGTTTGAGGAATACTTTGAGACGAACTATTAATTAATTCTTCAAGAATTTTTTATGTTTTCATTTTTTTAATTCTGTCTGTATTCTTTAAAATGAATTTTCTATGAACTTTCTATTCATCACTGTGTTATTTGTAATTGTTATTATATATAAAATTTTTAATTACTTAAATACGCGAAGAAACTTTTAAACATTTTTGCTCAATCTTTCGCAATAATTTACGGAGCTAAATATATTTCTCATAATGTCCACAATTTGCTACATTTAACATCTAACGTATAACGTATAACGATTTATTGCTAAGGTTGGTAGTCTAAAGGCTCAGGACGCTCGCACGGAATGCAAGAGATCCGGGTTCGACTCCCGGCCGAGGCAATATTTTTTCGCAATAAGTTTATGATTAATTTGGGGAATTTTGGGGGGATTATTAACATTTCAGATCAATTGCGTTAATGTCGACAACCATATCGACACGTAATTATTATTTCTGAAATTAATTCATTCGTTTGAAAAATATATATATTAGTTCAACATCTTAATACTTAGACCATAGTGGCGCTTCGGATTGTAATGTTATATAACGATTTAGTTCAGATATTTTTACCGCATTCCAATTTATATTCCAATTTTATATTTTTGATTAAAAAAGTCATATCCGAAAAGGAAATAAGCTACTTGAATAAATTGCTAAAAAATTTTATGAATTCAATTTTTGTATCAAAATATGTAAAAAAATTTTTTTGAGAAAAATCACAAAAATTTGATTTTCATTTGATCATGAACATAATTATAAAAAACCGTATAAAATGTTGAATTTCGAATCATTTTATTAAAATTTTTGAGAATGCTTAATAAAGGTATTAGAACTGTTACGTTTTTTTATGATTCAAATCAAGAAATTGAACGATAGACACGTAAGAAATATATTTTTTGTGAATTATGCGCTTAATGGATACCGTGTTTTTGATAAAACGGAATGAAAGTTGATATTTCGTAAGAGTCAAGAAAGTAAAACAAGAAGAAAGTAAAAATAAAATTAGAAGCAAGGATTTTAATAAATTCAGAAGAATATTATATTAGACAAAGTATCACAAGAAGAAAATTTTAAAGATATAGAAGATGATGCAATTGAAATAGAAGAAAGAGAAGTTCAAAATGTTTCTGCGTAGCAAGAAAAAACTAAAAATAAGAAGAATACGAAGAAAAAAATTTAGTTAGAAGAGAAAGGAAACGATCTAGAAGATTAGAATTATTGGATTATGTGTTTCTCACGTATAAGGAACCAATGGAAGGATCTGAAAAGCAGCAATAGAAGAGGAAAAGAAATCGCGGTAATACTCCAGATTAGGGGACCTCCCTCCCCTGATGATTCTGACCTTGACATAGGTCTAGGTTGTGACCTTGAGTAATCTCTAACATGTTTTAGTCATCGCTCATTATTCGTTACAAAGTTATTAACAAAAATTTAAAAAAATAATGTCTCATTTCAATATACACGAAGCAACTCCTACTCCACTTGCTCCCTACCTAGGGGCGCACGACTTCTACGCGAAGCGACTTCCAACCCACCTCTCCCTCTGCCAAGGTGGTAGTCGCATCGCGTTAACAATTGTAAAATATATTTTAAAGCAAAAAATTTTTGTTTTATATAGAAAAGAAATCATTTTTTTTAAACTTATTTTGTTAATAACTTTTTAACGAATAACGGCTAAAACTTGTCGGAGGTTACTCGGGCTCAAAATCATTGGGGGAGTCCGCTAATGGAATATTACCAAAATCGCTAAAACAGAATGCTTTACATTCTTGAATCTCGTGATATAATCAACTTTCTTTCCATTTTGTTAAAAACACAATATCCATTAAGCGCATAATCCACAAAAATGTATTTCTTACTTTTCTATCATCCAATTTCTTGATTCGAATAATAAAAAAAAACGTTCTAAGACATAAGCATTTTCAAAAATTTTAATAAAATGATTTGAAATTTAACATTTTATACAGTTCTTTATGTTTATGATTCATGAATTATGTTCATGATTCAATAAACCTCTTTTGTAATTTTTCTCAAGAAAACGTTTTTTTACTTCGGAATCGGTGATACAAAAATTGAAGTCTGGTCATTAGTTCCTAGATTGGAAGCTGGAGATAAAAAAATATTGACGAATAAATTACTGAACTATATATACACTGGAATGGGCATTGAAGAAAATTCATGACCACAATTGATCAGCTGCCATTTTAGTTGGGACGATATTTGAGCGATATCAGAAGCGTTTGCGCACGCGATCGATGTATCGATCGATGTACTATCGATGTATGGAAATCTATATGGACAAGAATATGGTAAATAAAAATAATGTAGTTTATTATATAACTCTTCCGAAGATACATAAGCAAGATTGCTCCTTTCGTATAATAGTTTCTTCGATAAATAGTCCTTTGTATTCGTTAGCGGTGTTTCTTTATAATAGTATCATAAAAACAATTCCTAAGGCAGATAGTTATATCGAAAATAATTTTAAACTTGTTAAGGAACTTGATGGTAGACGATTTGAGTGAATTTCAGTTAATGTCATTGGATATTGTGTGAGTCTCTTTACTACGTCCCCATTGACTATGCGATGGACTGTATTAAAGACTATTGGCGATTTATTTCTAGAGATTATTGTTTACCGGAGGAGGAATTCATCAAAGTGGTTAAGTTTGTTTTAGATTCTAGATTCTACTTTGTTTTTGATAGCATTATATATATAGACAGAATTACGGGATTCTTATGAGCCCCCATTATCTCCCGTCATCACAGATCTAGTTAGGCGAAAGCTGGAGATTAGAGCTTTGTTTTTGATTCGATTTCCGTTGCCCTTTTACTAGGTTTGTTGACGATATATTATTGGCGGCATATTACCTGCGTCTTCAGTTAGTTCCATTTTTGATATTTTTAATTCTCAGCATCCTAGACTTCAATTCAATATGGAGGGAATGATAGATTGAATTTTTTGGATGTTACAGTGATGAGTTGATAGACAATTAAATTGGTACCGTCTTTTTCGGGTAAATATTTGAATTTTTGGTCACAGCACCCGGTTTCTCAAAAATAGGTACAATCGCGGGATTAATTGATAGGATAGTTTTGCTTTTGAATCTTAAATTTTACTTTGATAATTTCAATTGTTTCATTATCAAAGTATTGTTAAAGAATGATTATCCATGGAACTTTATATTTGAGAATATTAATAATCGTTCGAAGAAAATTATTATGGCTAGTAATAGAAAGAGTATTGTTTAAGACAATAGGGCTGAAGCAGTACAGCCTTCGTGGTTCACTGTTCCTTTCGTAGTATTACTGAGAAGTTTAGTAGATTGAATAGCAAGCGTATGAGGGTATCGTTTTATATGAGAGCAAGTCAATAAGTTTTAAAAACATAGTAAAACATTTTTTTTTGATCGATTCATTTTTATTTCTCAACATAGTCTCCTTTCAGCTCGATACATTTGATCCAACGATTCTCCAACTTTTTCAAGTCGTCCGAATAATATGATTTGTCCAACCTTCAAAATAACGCGATGTTTCAGCGATGAGCTGCTTTCTGGTGGTGAATCTCTTTCCTCTGAACGAATTTCTTCAGATTTGGAAACAGAAAATAAGTCACAGGGGGCTAAATGGCGAATATGCTGGATGGGGAAGCAATTCGTAACGGAATTCGTTGAATTTGGCCATCGGTGCAGGGCACGTGTGAACCCGTGCATTGTTTTGATGGAAGAGCACTTTCTTCTTCGCCAAATGGGGACGTTTTTTCTTTAAAATGTTGTTGAAACGGTCCAATAAGGCTGCGTAGTAATGGCCATTGATCGTTTGTTTCGATGGAAGGGATATGAATTATATCGCGTGCATCCCAAAAAACTGTGGCTATCACCTTTCCGGCCGACTTCACAGTCTTCGCCTTCTTTGGAACTGGTACATTCGGTGAAGTCCATTGTTTTGACTGTTCCTTCGTCTCGGATGTGAAGTAATGGATCCATGTTTCGTCTACAGTAATGAATCAACGCAGAAATCATTTGAATTACAACAGTTGAAACATCTCCAAACATTGTTTTGAAATCGTCACACGGTCGCGCTTATGGTCCACAGTGAGCAAACGCGGCACTCATCTTGTCGATATCTTTTTCATACCCAATTGTTCGTGCAAAATTGAAATCACTGTGATATGCCTCAATAAATGTGCTTGCGCACTTTCACTCGTCGATCAGTCAAAACAATATCATGGACTTTATCGATGATTTCTGGCGTAGCAACCTCAATTGGACCTCTTGTATCACATGTGGATGTACGACCACGTTTATATTCATTCACTCAATTGTCGCAAACGCTGGTGCAGATGTACTATGAATATTGTTTTTGATTACTCGGTTTTGATTACTTTCGACGTTAAACCTTTCAAATGATCACTGCACGAAACTCGTTTTTTTCCATTTTGCAAAAAATACAAAGGTTGTTCTTTAATCGTCTACAGAAATGAAACCACGCGATGAATTCCGCTCAAAATTTGACAGTAATCAGTTGAAAGATGCTACTTGTCAAAAAGTAATGTGACATGACACTGCGAGTGCTCTCTGATAGATTTTCTAAGAACTTGATTATTGACTTGCTCTCGTAATACTAATAAATTGCGAGAATTCATTAGGGTGCATAAGGCCCTTTACCGCGTGACAAAAAGTCGAATGTTGTTTATAAGATCTCGTAAGAGTTGCGATGCAAGTTACATGGGACAGACATGTAGATAGCTAAGGTCGAGAATCACGGAGCATAAGAACACATCCGATGAAACACCTCTATTCGTAATATCATAATGAAGCATCGGTTACAAGAAAGCCATGATTTCGATTGGGACAACGTTACAATACTGGACGAGGAGCCTGATTACAGGAAGAGACTGATTTCGGAGATGATATTCAGGAGACAAATGCATGAACTCAGCCTGCAGGTATAGAGAGGGAGCCTTCCCAAGGCCTACCTCCCGATCATAGACAAGCTATAAAGGCTTGAGTTGTGTAGTCAGTTAGTGTCATTCAACAATAATGAAGTAAGCAATAATGAATCTTTCTGGCGTATTTACTTTCTAACTTTCTTGTTCTTGGAATTGATTAACACTTTAATGATACATTTTTCCATTTGTTATCTCAGAAAATTACTAACTAAAAAACAAAAAAATGACTCACTGTGTCTAATACTAACTGGCCAACATTATCAGGAGCTGGTTCTTGAATTATTTTTATAGTAATGTTTGCGATTTAGACTCTGTGAACATCCACACTCTGTGAGCGTCCTTATATTTGTTAGACAATTAATTATAATCTTAAAGCTGTTTGATAAATTAGTTCTCCATATTCTATTTTATGATATTTTCTAATTTCTTTTCTTTTTTCTTTTCTTTTTTTCTTTCACTCTTTTTAATTTCGGACATTTAAATTCTCGATGTAGGGGAGCTCACCATGACATGCGCGCGCGCGAGATGATCTTGCTGACATATGTATCTCACTAAAGAACATTAAATGTAAATGCGCATGAGCACCTGAAAGCTTTTGATTCACTCTTATATTAACTAAATTAAAATGGCGCTGATCAATTGCTGCCATGATTTTCTATGTTTCACAGCGGAGATGCCCATTCCAATGTATATGTTCAGTCGAGGGGGTAATCACTTGAATTCCGGTGTATAATCTGTCAGAAGTCCGATGAAGTCCAGTGAAGTCCGACGAAGTCCGAGGAATTCCTCAAGGTCCGATGAAGTTCGATGAAGTCCAATGAAATCCGATGAAGTCTGATGAATTCATGAATTCCAACAAAGATGGATTCCAGTGAAGTCTTGAAGTTCGAAGTCCAGATGTACATCTATTTTTTGAGTGATTACCCCCTCGAATTCAATGGAATAAATGGATTTTCAGGGTAAAAGAATATAGTCAATATAAAGCAAGGAAATTGTGATGAGAGGTTATAAGTATATATCAATTGTACATGAGCCACTTACGCACGAGCCAATTACAGTACTAGAAAAAAATAAAAAAACTCCTTACACAGAAGTGTTAGCAGTGAACACACAATTGCTGCAGTATGCAAATGAATCACTCCCAAGGATTGTGTGCAAAAATTTAGACTCGATTATGAAAAGGTCTTCAGCCCAATAGTCAATATGAGCTCATCGAAATTGGTACTTGCATTAGCAATCCAGAAAATATGTGTTATAAAAAAATTCACTGTAAAGATAGTTATTCTGTATAGTCTGAAAAAATTGAATATGAAGACAGTTATTCTGTATAGTCTAAAAGAAAACGTATTAATGTGTGTGCGTGCGTATGTGAGTGCATACATGCGCGTGGAAATTCCAGAAAGTTATGATAACAAAACTGGGAAAATCTCTAAATTATATAAAGTTTTGTATTGAAACAGACGTCTTTAAAATGAAACCAATGTCTAATTAAAATTCTGAGAATCACTAGTTTGATTCCCATCAGGATGGAGCATCTTTATAAATAGAAATCATTTCTTGATTCTGGTTTTTTACGTAAATGATGGGCTAATGATATTTTTTAGTTATGATCGACATAATTTCTTTTAAGGGACTGAACAATTCAAACAACAAAAAGTCCGAAACAGAAAACGCCATAGAAATATATTAATGTGTGTATTTCAATCTAAGAAAAAATTTTTTTAATCTAAGAGAATAAAAGTAATTATACAAAAATTATTGCATTTAGTCGATAAAACAGATAACTTTAGGAAGCTCTTAAAGGAATGCTGAAGTGGTCGAGTTTGAAGGCCAGTATAATCATACTCGGTAGCGACACTGAACGTCGGCACCTTCGATGTGGTTCTTAAGTGATATAGACTCTATCATGAGCAATTCGCTCATTGCTTACGTTTTACTGTTTAAGTTTTTTTGTGTGCTATGGCCCTGATCAATGTCAGTAATACTTTTTTAATTCTTAATTAAAAATGTCGATATTTATGACATCTAATTTATATCTTACATTATCATTTTGTCTCATTCAAATGCATATACCTGTCCCTCTCTGATTGCAATGCCATCTTTTGCAAGATTTGTTACCTACTGCTAGACAATTATTGCTCTATTTACCATTCTGAATCTTTGTATACACGTAATTTGAAAATCACAGTATAAATCTTTTTTTACCTTTCAATCTTCTATAAACTCATCGTCAGTATTGTTCGTTCACGTAATTTGATAGTGCAATATTTTGTCCATATGAGCTATAGAACTTTTGTAAGAAAACATTTGTGTCAACTGACAACTCTATAAGTTGGAAACTATAAGTTTTAACTTTTTTTTTATTTCAGTATAACTGCCTCACTTCCTAATTTTGCGTTTATTTTAATCCTGTAATTTTTTTATTCCTTTCAATTCAGAGATTTTTATACAGCTGTAATCATTGTGTCACTCTAGTGTCCCTTTAAATTTGATTATAATAAAACTTCTCTACATCATATATTGTAAAATGTAATTATGTCAAAATGTATTCAAATAATCTTCTCTTGATGATTTCAAATTTCTCAAAAATGTGATATAATACAATGTGATAAACAGAATAATATTCAGTCCTAAAAAATTACAGGAAACGATTACTCCCATTCTTGTGTTCGAAAAAAATAATTTTTTATTGAACAGTATTATAAGCGGAATTCTATATTGAATTTTGAAATAGGTTATAGATCATTCGAAGCTTAGCGCTAAATAAAATATTTTCTAAACATAACATTGTTTGTTCCATTCATAGAGATTAGTGGAGAGCGCCGAACAGGCTGCAGTATCTGCGCCGAGGGAAGGAAACATGTCGCCCAAGTATTACGCTTCGCATCGGCTTAATAACTTTGTTAGCGACGAAAAAGGTCCCGCTCAGGAGATGTTTCTCGCTACAAATCGCCACTTCGATAATCTAGCAGTGAACGTTAGTTTGTCTGCCGTGCTCCTGCCAAATGGAATTAAAGACAATGGTAAGCATCACGATAGATGAATTTAACAAGATGCCAATCGATACATATATCATGAATGAAAGTCATCTTATATTCTTTCATTGCTTCATAGTTTAAATGAGAAAGGATTATTATCTTAACACTATTCAACTAAAAGATTATTTGTTCCATCTTGTAAAAACAGGCAAATTTTAAGATGAAAAAACTTCGTCAAAAATCATCATATTGAATATCATAAGAAATTTAGAAGAAATAGGCACAACAGAAAAGCTATCAACGTCAAGGCTGTGTGGCTCACTGGCAGGACGAAAGTCTACCATTATGAAGGAGACCAGGCCTCGGAGCACCCTGATATTTTTCTCGTGTTGTCACTTATTTCTTACAGTATCAAGATAGTAAAAAACCTGTAAACCGCATTTGTGTACAATTTTTCATTCACGCCATGGAACTTCATAAAAAATTTTGAGATTTGATGTATCTTCATTTATGTTTGTATAACTCCATAAAATATCAATAAGACCGTTTTCTAAAGTACTGACATAACATCTCGATATAATGATTTTTGGCAAAGTTCTTCTATCTTGAATTTTGTCTATTTTTGCAAGGTGAATTTTGCACGGGTGATCCTTTAATTTTGTTAAGTAATGTATCTTTATAAATGAGGAAGATTCTCTGATTCAGCTGGATTGAAACTGGAATCACACGATGCTTTAAATGATAACACATGTATGCTGTCATAGTGAAAGAAAGGACTGTTTCAAAATTTACTGCCAGTACTGAAAGTCTATAGTTTACGTCACGTGTACTATAGATTTTCAGTACTAACAGTAAATTTTGAAACAGCCAAGGTGCATGGATACGCACTCGTCCATAATAAATGATCAATCAGAAATTGATTATAAGGGCCATGACACACAAAAAAACTCAAGCAATAAAACGTAAGCAGTAAGTGAATTTGTCAGGAATCGAGGGTTAGGGAATACAATTACAATGCACTACGCATGTACATGATATATTTAATGCGGCTTTTTCACACAGTTCAAACAATCAACCAAAAAATAGCTTGAACTTAAAAAACCCTGCACGTGCGACGGACGCCACCGGAAGAAGAACATAATGAATAAAAAATACATAGTGTAGATTGGAAACTTCATGTATAAAGATTATCTATCGCCCTCTGGGTGTTACTAAATCTAGTTATAATATCCATTAGCACATTGCATGGATCCACTATTTTAGCAAAATTGACCAATCACAGTAGAATCCATAAGATCATAATATAAGCAGTAGCCAATCCAACATGTTGATTTCCTTACTGTATACGTCTTGCTGCCTTAAGTTTTTTGTGTGTTATGGCCTTTAATGTTAAAAAAATGGCTACTAACATATATTTGATGCTAAGGGTGCGTTCGTGGAGACGCTGTCAGCACTATGAATGCAAACTATCAACACTGTTCACAGTTGATAGCATGATAGTGTTATTAAAAGCTTTTTTCATTGGCAGAACTTCAAGGTAAACATAAGATAAAATTATTGGTTTGACTTTGGGTGATATTGTCAAGGTCAAGGCAAAATAACTTTAAACTTTTTTCTTCATTTTTCATTGCATATTCTTATATCATACCCCAGGTAGCATCTATTGATTTATATACGTTTCCTAAACGTATCTAATGTTCTACAAACATTTAAGGAACGTATATAAAATCAACATGTACTACTGGGATCAAGAGCTTTGCAAAACACTATAATAAAATATTTGTCACATGAAAGAAATTAAAATGTCAGACACATTTTAAACATTGAACTGACAACATACATCTTTAACACTTTCCATATAATTTTTATATTACATTTTGATGCCGATTGTAGTCGCTATGTTTTATTCATACTTTCTTCTTTTGTTAATATGTTCCTCGTGCAGTTTGATATTTGTTATTGACACTAGTTAAACAGATTCCACTTTGAATCAGCAAACGAGAATGGATTAAAATGGATTAAAATTTTTTTAATGCGTATTCTAAATCCATAAAAATGGATTGGATCCGAGCTGATACTAGTATTTAATATTCGAAAAAAAAACACATTCATATTTAAGGCTTACAAATTTGATTCATAAGACATTTATAATAATTATACCTGAAATTAAAGCCCTGCGCACAATAGAAGGAATAAGGAATTAGAAATAAAGAATAAACGATTTTAATTTATCAGAAATCGGATACATCGGAATACACGATTTCTGATAAATTGAAATCGTTTATTCCTTATTTCTAATTCCTTATTCCTTCTATTGTGCGCAGGGCCTAACTACTTCAAATTGGTATTAAAAACCGCACCTTAATGGATTCGAACTTAGTACCTCTGGATTATGAATCTTCTACGTTACTCGCTATCCCATTTCTTCAATTGGTAAATGTAGTATTCATTCTCTTCAATTACAATCAATTAAATAATAACGAAATTATATTGATATAATAAAAATATTATCATTTAACAGATATAATAAAGTATATAAACAATGTACATTACTATGAGACAACATTGGGTAAGTGTCGGATAATCTATTATAATCTCGCTTGACCGATGTCGCGCGCCGTGATTAGTCTCTTCTAATATTCAGGCTGTGTTCGACTTGCAAGTGTTCACATCATTCATTTTATTTCTAATCGAAGAGAAACAAAAGAACATAGCTCAATTATTTTTACGTTACAACTTTTTTGAACTTGGTTGGATTAAAACGAAAAATTTCCTACTTATAATTTTGAATAATTTAAATAGCATTTATGCTCCATTTTTAAATAAAAATTTTTTTGTTCAATTAGATTGAAAAACTGCATTTCATATTCAGAATATTGAATTGAGCAGTATTCACGTTGCATAGAAATTATTGTTATTATTTTTGAATTTAACTGAATTAAAAAACTACCCATACAGCATAGAAAGATTGCAAAAACATTGCAGAATGATTTCACTGAAACATTGCAATATTGTATGGTGGTTGCGAAACGTTGCTGAATCATTGTTACAAAATTCCAATGTTAAGATGTTCCCTTTTTGTTATATTGCAACAAAACGTTCCAACAATATTGCAATGTAATGTATTTGGATAAATTTTTTACGAAAACTCTAAAACTCGAAAACTATTTCTCATATATCTCACATATATCTTACTAACTTTAATTTTTCTACAAATCGCATTTCTAGTGATATGTGCTTTCCAAAAGCAATTTTTTATGATAAACCATAAAATATTCCAATAAATATAATATTAATTCTGAAAGATAAATTTATTCGTAAGGATAAAGCATGTATATGTGCCCCGAACAAACTGCACAAATATTATCCACATTAATATAATAATACAGTCGCTTGGTAAGTTAATCATGGATTAAGTTAATCGCAATGATTCTTTTTAATTCGAAACCACTCAATTGAAATCAATTAAAAAATGACGGTATGAAATTTATCAATAAAGTTCGGGCGCTGATTTATTTTTGCGTTCACATCAGGCATCATCGATCACATAATTAATATTTCAATAAATCGTTTTCAGCAGTTTAATTATTTATCATTTTATCCGATAATGATGCATTGATTGTATCCAAACTCGATATTATACAATCTTTTGATTTTATATTTAAAATAAATATAAATCTTAATTAATGAAATGGTATCAAATAATAGATCAATACATTTTTTATTTAAATATAAAAAATGGATTATATTAATTATATCATAAAAACAACTGTACTACATAAATATTGTAAAAACTTATATTTTTATGTTATTATTGTAATAATTAAAGAATTACAGTTTTGCAATGTTTGTGAATTATTACAAGCATATTACTGACATTTTGCAGGCATATTATTAATTTACATTTCTGTAATATCTCTACAATGTTACATTGCAATCTGTAATATTGCAACATTGCAACAATATTGCAATCTTCTGTACTGGGGTACTTCCTATTCACAATTCTGAATTAAGTAATATACACGATACACAGAAAATATTATTTTTAATTATACTAATATTATTATTTTTAGATAGAAAGTCATAAAGATATGCTCTATGCAATAGAGCCTATAAATGAATAAAAATGCATTCACGAAAAGGATTCATTTTGACATTCATGAATCCGTATTTCTAAACATCTGAATCCATTTCAATCCATTTCAATCCATTCTCGTTTGCTGGGGAGTGACTAATCGTTTAACTATCTTATGAGGAATATAGTTGTTTGAATATCTCATGTTTCATGCTGAGCATGACTTCAAAGAGAGTTAAAACGTACGAATAATTTTATATTTAGAATGTATGTATTTACTTCACTATTTATTAAATTGTGCGTGGTGACCTGCGTTGTATTCTCATTGGCCTGCCTTTTATTGTGTTTAATATAATATACAAGGTGTCATGAATATACAGCCTCACTCGTTTCGAGCAGATAGAGTGGACTAAATTGAGTAGAAAAATCCTCTACCATTTTGTAATGCTCGCAATAATTAACGAAATATTAACGTTTAAAGATAGCCGAATATGCACATCCTCCCGACCTATTATTGCCGAAAGTACGGCCCACCGAACGCGCGGGCCGTGAGGAGCAGGGCTTACCGTCGCGAGCATCTCAAGCTCAAAGGGCGCAGCGCGCCTGCTAGGCCATTCCCGCTCCTCGCGGCTCGCACGCCGTGCGCTTGGTGGGCCGTACCTTTGACAATAATAAGTCGAACGGACACGCGTATTCGACTATCTTTAAACGTTAATAACTCGTTAATTATTGTGAACATTACAAAATGGTAGAGGACTTTTCTACTCAATTTAGTCCACTCTACCTGCTCGGGACGAGTGGGGCCGTATATTCATGACACCCTGTAATTTAATATAATATTGTTAATACTATTAAATATTATTGTTATATTGTATTATTGGAATATTATTGTTTCTACTACAAACAATAATATTCCTCTGCGATTGACTCACGATTTGTAGATTCGAGTTCAATGCTATCTGTACATCCTCCCACATGCGCGATTTTTTCGTCAAATTTGTGACTGTGCTCGCGAGCGAAGGCACAACTTCGTCGCGTGCTCTATAATTTTTTTTTCCTTAAAGAAATTTTCGTATGAGGTAAGGTCTCGCCAGTCAGATAGAGTTTTCACAAATATTCAGAGCTTTCTAAATAAGTTGGGCGTCAGACGAGAGAGCGTGCTCTTTTTTCGATAATTTTCGACTACGTTAATAACATTTTATTGCGCACAATTTTACTTCGCAACAGGGTCGTTAAAGGTGAGGAAATTGTTTAAGGAGCTAAAAATGACTCTATCTGGGGATTAAAATTTCTTTCCAAGTAGCACACAACAACGTATACAAAGCGTTAACAAAGCGCTAAAAAAGCGCATATAAACACTTTTTTTTAGCGTTTTGCAAGCGCTGCTACTTGGGTTTGATCACCAGAGTCCGACCGAAACTTTTGTCGAAACTCAATCGAAACACTCATTTACATATCAATTTCAATCGAAACCGAAATTAAAATTAAAAAATAGGAATCCAATAAAGATCATATGTATATATATGTATACGTTTTTATTATTATTATAATTTGAAGAGTCTTATATTGCACTTTCTATTTTTATTGCATATGTATAGATATGCTCATATACTTTTTCTTCATAAATATCATAATTTATTGAAACATAATTAAATTTCGGCCGAAATCGAAAATCGAAATTTTGGTTATGTACATATCAATTTTGGTTATGTACATTATCAATTTCAAAGAATATAAGCATTTCTTCTTTATAAATATCAAAATTTAATTATTGAAACAATAATTACACATTTTTTTAAATTAATATTTACGAAGAAGAGCTATAATCAGTCAAAATTAACATGTAATGAATGTTCGCATTTCCGATCAATTAACCGAAAACAATTCGTCGAAAAGCAATTTATAGAACAATTTATCGAAAGAAATTGATCGAAAAGATAACTGGTCAAAATTACAATTCATCCTTTGAAAGGACAATTGATCGAAAAGAATTGATCGGAAGGACTTTTGGTTAATTGATCGAACGTAAATTGATGAATATTTTAATGGATAAATTTCCACGTGGGTTTTGACTTTTCACGTCAAGATTCACTCCATGTTACCTCTTGGTTATACGAAGCGAAACAACTCATACAGTATCGATTGTTACGAAAAATTTTCAGAAATATTTCAACCTTTCACATCTCTGTGTGCAACAATTCTGAAAGGATTCTGCAATATGTCATATGAAGTATTTTAACAGAAATGTTTTTAAAATTATCATAAAATTATCATGCAAAAACATATTTAAACAAAACAAAAAAATCATGATGTTAAAATGGCTCCAATTTATGATATACATATTATGATTCTAATAATAATGAATAGTAAACACGTAAATAGTTATTATTCACTTTAATAATTATGAATAATGTTCCATGATACATGACATTCCATAATATTACATACTACATAGTTCCTTGAATAGTTTTGAATAGTTATATTTCTCAATAGTTCTCAATAGTTTGAAAACTATTTATATTTATATTGTCTACTTGCATCATGATACATAATAAACAAAAAAGTCACGCCTATAAGCCGTGCTCAATGCATAAACATATTTCAGCATGCGTCAGAGCAGACATACATGTATGCATATTTATCATTCAAGAAATCGTGTGATTTCAACTTTAGTTATGTGCTACGGCAAATTGGTTCTTTACTCTTGCAGAGCGTGACGTTGCTTCGGGTATTCAGTGGAGCGAGTACTTGGATCTGTTATTTGTTAATAATTATGAAAGTGATCCTACGCTATCATGGCAATATTATGGAGCGACGACAGGATTTCTACGTCGCTTCCCAGGTATTTAAACTGTTGTCTAGTGGAAGTAAGATTCTCTGATCAATCTTGTCTTATTTTTGATTGATGAAAAATGGCGAAACCAATCCGATGATAATTGAACACGTAAAATATTAGAAAAACAGATATATGAAATGCCAAAGTGCGATTTCATGAAAATATATTCAGATATTGCCCCCATTCTCAGTATAGTTAAACAAAGCGTTTTCTCCATATCCGGATATGACCTCCGATATTTCGAATGCGATCAAACTATAGAATTATATGTAAAATCAGTTTTCGAAATTAATTGATTTTTTAAGATCACATGAAGGTCACTTCTACTTTTTTTTAATTGACTAATATAAATTTTTTATGTAACTTGACTTTTTTAATTATTCTGCATATAAAATAATAAAAGAACCAGCATAAGTTTACTTTTAATTTACTTTTAATATATATACATATTTACTTTTAATATATGTATATACACTACTCAGTAAAAAATAGGGAACACTTTAGAACATTTTATTGCTCAAAATTGTGCAATATTCAGAATACCATAACTCGGTGAAAAATTATCGCAGATAAAAATAAAAAAAGTATTTAAAAGCTTGAAATCTCTATTTTTGAAATCGGTAATTGATATTTCAATCTGGTTCTTTACGGAGATATACGGGCACAAATGGATACCCGTCAAATCTTATATCCGAAAAATTTTTACAAACTTTATGAAGATCTATGGCGTGAAGTAAAATTCACACAAAAATGCGATTTACGGCAATCGAAAGAGTCAATTTTTACCTTCAATTTGCTTTTTTATTGAGTGCTATACGATTTTTCTTCATCGAGTTATTAAACGTTGAAGCAAAAGTGCAGGTCATGTTAAAATAAAAAATTTTTCTTGAAAAATTTAATACAGATATCTAAAATTAAAAAACACTTTTGTGTAAAACATATCTCTTACATTATTATGTGATGTTTTTTTGATAGGGATTTTTTAAATGCTCTTACCATTTTTCGAAAAATAACGTTTACCGCCACATTAGCGTTATTCAATAAAGTTTTTTTATTCCATGCACGTCATCAAAGTTGAAGTTTATTTTTTAATTTTAAAAGATCGACTTCAAATTAGCATCATTTGTAATAAAATTTTTACATAGAAACATGATTTGAAGCATTCGAAAGTTATTCGAAAGACTTCAAGCTTTAAAATGATTATTTCAAACGTTTCATAATAATTTTTCGAGATACGTAAACCTTGATTTTGGCTTTTTTAACGCTAATTTTAAATGATCTTTTAACTTCAAGATAGAATAATTTTGTCAAAAATGATCGTAATGAGATTTTTAAAAAAATATTTTAAAGATGAACTCTTTATTTTTGAAATCGGTAATAGATATTTCAATTGGGCTGATCTTTTACGGAGCTGTACGGACACAAACAGATACCTGTTAAATCTGAAAATTTTGTACAAATTTTATAAAGGTCTATGGCGTGAAGTAAAAATCACACAAAAATGCGATTTACAGCAGTCGAAAGAATGAATATTCATCTTTAATTTACTTTTTTATTAAGTACTGTAATTAAGTACAATTTTTTTTTCACCGAGTTATTGAACGTTGAAACAAAAATGATCATTTTTATTCGTACAGTACTTAATAAAAAAGTAAATTGAAGATAAATATTCATTCTTTCGACTGCTGTAAATCGCATTTTTGTGTGATTTTTGAGTAGTGTTATTCTCTAGTGGTATTCTTTAGAACGACCGTACATACGAATACATCAAATACGACAGAGAACGCCATCATTTTGATCAAAGTTAAATGTTTTAAATAATACGATATGTATTCTTTTATTAAATAAATTTATTTCAGATATGATTGCACTTTCAACACATTCTCTGTTAAAATGCTGATCATAGGGACTCCAAACTGATACATAATGGACTTAATTTTTAAAAGCTTATCCTTGTTTGTTTTAATTTTTAGAATGGTTTTATATTGAATCTTTTAAGATGATCACTAAGATGTAGCTCAATGATGAAATGACTTCGCTTACTTGCATGTAGAATTTAAATACGGTAGCATTCTAGGGTTAAATTTGTGTAAGAAATGCGGTTTATTATATATTTATATGTTACAGCGATATCGTGGCCACCGATGGAGGGTACACCTGGAGCATCTAGGTCCTCGCATCATCGAACGGTTCGTGATGTGTATGATTTTAGGATGTCGAACTGGTTTGTTGGGGCGGCAAACAGCCCGAAAGATCTAGCGATATTGATCGATAGCGCGACGTACACGTCTGACCGGAATCGACGATTAACAATAGCTACGACGAAAGTCGTCTTGGACACTTTAGGGCCGGATGATTATATAAACATATATCGTTATGGCGAGAATGGCGAGGAAATAGTGCAGTGCTTCAAGGATAGCCTGGTGCAGGCGTCACCTGAAAATATTCACGAGATGAAGGTAGCTTTAAGTTCTCTGAAACATGAGGACACTGTGACCAATATTTCAGCCGCGCTCAGCACCGCCTTTGAGATCCTCCATAAATACAACCGCTCCAGCCAGGGAAGCCAGTGCAACCAGGCCATTATGTTGATCACATCTGACACCGATGGCCCACCTGCAGAAGTGATAAAGCGTTACAATTGGCCGCATATGCCTGTACGGATCTTTACTTATCTCATCGGTGGTGACAAGAGTCTTGATCTCCAAAATACGGCATGCACCACTAAAGGTTACTCATCGATAGTTTACAGATGTACAAAGTCTCACAACCAGTAATGTAATCAGAAAAAGAATGATTCTACGTGAAAAAGAAAAAAATAAAACGTAATCAATTTTTGTTTTGTACAAGGTTTTATTTTCGGAAAAAATTATTTTAAAAATTGGAACAGTAAAGTCATATTTATATTTCCTTTTTATCCTTTGAATTATTTCTAAGAATTTCTTATACTGTAAACTATAGTTTTGTTAATAGCCAAATATTCATCATTTCCTTTAAAAGTGGCACAATTCAAAAAATTGAATTTCTTGATAAAACTATTTTTTAATTTGACAGAAAATTATTGTTGATTAATTAAATAATATTGACAAAAAGAATATATTCTTAACAACAATCAAATGTCATTTTTGTCATTGTTTCACAATCCTTAAAAAAATTATCCTTTTTTTTAGTTGTGATGAATTTGATTTTTTAAATTCATCCATAAAGATACGTTTTGATCATTTTTTTATATAGTTCGTGTTCACTTTTGATAATGCTTATTTAATTAATTTATGGTAAAAACTCGAAAATCACATTTTTTGAGTTATGTCGCTTTTGAAATAAAGGAATAATATGAAAAAACGATATTATATTAGGAAATTAAAAGTGATGTTAATATACATATAGGATGTTACCGGAAAGTGGCGATAAACTTAAAAGAGTGATAAATCTGAACAACTGATTGTTAAGTTAGATAAACTGAAAAGAGTAATAAACCTGGTAACTAACTGAATCAAACTGAATAACTTTTGTTGAGTAACTCACATATAGCTATGTCTCCTTAAGATGTTAAGCGTCAATTTAATTTGTAATTGTCTAATTTATGCTACTTAACTTTTATAAGTTTAAACTGAATGAAAAGTTTTTAAATTTTATTTAATTTTTTATTGTAATAAGTGTTTAAATTGGTAGCTACTCTTTACTCTCATTACATGTACGTCACACTATTTAGAGCAGTACTGGAATTTACTTGCAACTTTTGCACTGATTTTTAATTAAGTTCCTGCCGTCTGCCTTATCAACTCACGTGCAGTCTAAATGCCGATTGGGTTGGTGAAGTATGAAACAAGTTAAAAATTGCCCGAAAATTGCAAGTAAATTCCAGCATTGCTTTAGAAAATTTCAAAATTATTACGGTTATGTTCATTATTCTGTTAATAAAATTTTGAGTATTAATCATGTACTTTAAACTTTGACATGTCCACACAAGAAAAAAAGTACATTATGGTAAAAAAAACTCATAATGTCTTATAATCTTATTTAATTATATCTTTTATTTCATAGTAATACATTCTCATAATATATCATAATAATGTTTTTCAAGAATTTTTTATATTTTAAATTTATAAAAAGGTTTCTGAAAAATATTTTAAACTTTTTCAGATTTTATAAGTTTTCTGCAAAAATTATGAGAAATCATAAAATATTTTAGAATTCACGCATACGTAAAAAATTCTAAAAAAGATATGCATCATATTTTCTCAGCATTTCTGAAAAATATATTCCAATTCATTTAAAAAATCAGAAATTATTTAAAAAGTTACCAAATTATAGAAATTCTAAAATTATGAAAAATTACATAAAGAATTCAAAAAAAAATTTCCCCAGGGCACTCCAACCAAGTCTGGAAATTAATATTTTAAGGAGATGTTGCCAAATATGTATTACTTAACAATATTTAATTTTATTATATACAGGGTCTGGAAATAATCGCCAAATATTTTATGGGCAGGTAGAGAGGACTAAATTGAGTCGAAAAGTCCTCTACCATTTTGCAATTTTCGCAATAACAAGTTAAGTTAACAAGATATTAATTACTAAAAATTGGTTTTGAATCATTTTTTACTCAAATACTATCAACTATCAACAGAAAAACTGCAAGAGACAAAAATCATTTATTTCCTTCTCATAAAGTTCTAAGAATTTTTTCAGAATTTTTTATGAATTTTTTTATTCTACATTTTCTTTTTTTTTTTTTTATCAACATGAAAAAATACGGTATTAAAAAATTCTGAAAAAATTCTCAGAACTTTATGAGAAGGAAATAAATGATTTTTGTCTCTTGCAGTTTTTCTGTTGATAGTTGATAGTATTTGAGTAAAAAATGATTCAAAACCAATTTTTAGTAATTAATATCTTGTTAACTATTGCGAAAATTGCAAAATGGTAGAAGACTTTTCGATTCAGTTTAGTCTTCTCTACCTGTCTATGAAATATTTGGCGATTATTTCCAGACACCCTGTATAATTATTTAGAGACGGCTTCTTTTGTCTATAAATCGATTGCTTACAGCATCGTTTGCCTACATCATTTTTGCCGACAGTTTGTTTGCACAAAAATTATTGCCTACAGCTCGATGTATGCATTTTACGCACAAATTAAAATTAAAATTTTTTTTTTTATGAAGCTTTGTAGATTTTTTTCTCCGAGTTATTCAACGTTGAAGCAAAAATGACCTTTTTTGCTTCGATGTTAAATAATTCGATAAAAAAAATCGTACAGAGGTCAATAAAAAAGCAAATTGATCGGATAAATCGTATTTGAAACCGTGACCACTGTTTTGCAAATAAAGTTTTAAGGAAAGTACAATTGGAATGTTGAGAGATAAATTTTGCAACTTTTAATGATTTATTCACGACTACTAATTTATACAGATTTTATTTTTATAGTTTTAAATTAGTGGAAGAAAAATTTGATTTTTTTATTCTAAAGTCTCATAACCTTTTAAATATTAAGAATTACATAAAAACAGAGTATATTTATATATATAAAGATTGGGAAATACAATTTATACTTAACTATAACATCGAAAATTAAAAAAATAAAATATTATGTATAATATCTCATGTTAATATCGATTTCTATAGGATTTTACGCGAGAATAACGAATGCGGACGAAATCCATAATAAAGTTTTCGAGTACGTGAAAGTTTTAGCGCGGCCTATGGTACTCTATCAACATGATCATCCTCTTCATTGGAGTCCCGCTTACGTAGGTGGAAAAGTAAGCAATTTAATTCACACACATAAATAATTATTATATTAATTACATTAATTAATTTATGCATTGCGGAATATTTTTATAAAAATATAATTTTATATTGTTATATACCTATACATATATTCTGCGGCGTTTCTACATTAATAACAATTGACCTTCAGAGTAATAGATATGGCAGAGAAAATCGGGGCCAATTGATGACATCTGTGACAGCTCCGATTTTAGATCGCCGGAATTATACGGTAATTATACTTTAAACACAATAATTATGTGCTGACGCCTTAATATTGTGCGAGCGCCACTTTAAATGTGTGAAGTAATATATGAATAAATTGTACTTCATTATATGTTATTATTCTAAGGTGAAAACGGCTAATTTATTGGGTATTGTCGGTACCGATGTACCTATCGAGGAAATTCAGAAACTCGTGCCGCCTTACAAGGTATAAACTAAGGTTTTCTTCATTATTCGGCTTGGTCATACCAATTGCTTGGCATCAGAAAAACTTGGCTCTTTGGTCGATATTCATAGTCCATTCTTTTAAGACTGTTTTAAGTAATGTCTAAAAATTTTTAATGCGACTCTCTGATTGGTTCATGACATCTTAAGACTGTACGTAAGACAGTCTTAAACTTAAGAATCGACTATAAATATCGATCTTTGTCGGATCTTTTCTTATAGAATTTTATACAATTTTATCTTAAATAGTAGATGAAAAATAAAAAATGAGAATTAAATAGAATAAGAAATGTTTTATTTTTAGAAAAATACAAATCAATGTATTGGAGAAAGACATATTCAATCATAATTAGCCATCAAATTGGTGCGATCAGTCCATGTTTATATATTTTGCTCATTGACTAAACGTCACAATACATATTAGGTGTATACATAGTAAAAAAAAATTCATTATTTTTCCAATAGATGCTTTAGTAATCTGTATCACGCGTAGACGAGATACAGATTACTAAAGCCATCTATTGGAAAAATAATGGATTTCTTTTTACTACACCTAATATTAATAATGCGTTTCTCACATTACAGTTAGGAGTTAATGGATATTCATTTATTGTTGACAATAATGGCAGAATTCTATATCATCCTGACCTAAGACTTCTCGTAAGTATTAATGTCATCGGGACAAATAACAACAACGTGCTCAAATAATTTCACAAATATGTAATTTTAATGTTAGTACATTTTTTTTGGTAAATATCTAAAAAGTCTTACAGTATGGATTACGTTTTGATTTTGACATATTGATTTTGATACGTATTGTAGACTTTGTATAGAGTTCATTCCTGAGTAACATGCATTTTAAATTAGATGGTACTCTTTTATCATATTTTTTAAAATATTTTAAATTCAAAATATTAAGATATCCTATTGTACTATATATAAGATAACCTTTTAAGAATGTATTCTTGAAATAACTTTAAGTCAAAAATTGTAATACGAAAATGTTGAGAGTATAATAGTTTCGAAATTAGTATCTAGCGATTAAAGTTTATTAAACACAGAATTTATATTTTCCACGCTCAAGCATGATGATATAACAAGTGATAAAGGTGCCACATGAAGATCATCAAAATTATGTAAAAATGCAATTATTTTTTTGTTAAGAAATTATTTCTGCTTTTGTATGGAACCTACCTAAAAAAAGTTTTATATATAATTGTGTATATATATATATATATATATGTGTATGTATAAAATTATATATATATATATACAGACTTGCTGCTGAGTCACTATTCTCACTTTAGTCACTATTTCGAAGAAAGCTCACTTTTGCGGTAAAAAACTCACTATTTTCACTTTTTTTCGATAAAATTGTATTATTTCTGGATTTGCTATAATCTCTGTCTAATAAGTTATACATTTTTTTAAATTTTTGCTGCGTGTTTTCATTCCTTTTCTGTGAAAATTTGAATAATTTGAATCTCCCGCCATTTATAGTGGCGGGATTCTTTTACTTTATTACTGATTATTTAAGGAAGATTTTCATTATAATTTACAGTTATTCCAATCCATAAATTAAATCAATTTATTGAGAGCTAGTCATAAAAAGTATTGTTATGTTATAAAGTAATAGCTTTATGAAAAATATAAATATAGCAATATGAAAAAGATTTATTAGAAAATATGATTACTTGTACAAATGCGTAAAATTATTGCAATAAACCAAATAATATTGAGTTGGTGAAAAAGTTCTGTGGAATTTTGTTAGCTCAACATTATGTACAGAATATATTTGTTACAAAATTTTCGACTATCTAACGTGAAGGCTTAATTTTTTTTTAAAGTTTATTTTTAAAAAATGTTTCTACGATTTTTTGTTACCAAGTTACACGCGGATTAAATAAAAGAGCATTCTGATTTTTTGTTGCTCATAACTTCGTTAAAAATCATTGTACCATAATAAATAAAACATTCTTAAAGTTGAAACTTTGCTCTATCAAATAATACACATTATGCTAATTTTTTAAATGTAAAATATAGAAATTTGAGTTATAAAAATGTGATATTATTATTGTTATGACTATTGCACAATAATTATAAGGACAGTAATATCATATTTTAAGCTCAATTATTTTTTTTGGCAATTATACTAATAGACGTTTTAGCTTTAAGAATCTGTTTTTTTTTAATTGCAATACGATGATTTTTAATGAAGTTATGAGCAATCAAAGTCAGAATGCTCCTTTTTACTTAACTCGCGAATAATTCAAAAATAAAAAATTGTAGAAACATTAAAAAAAAAAAAGATTTTGTAAGGAAAAAAAACTTCAAACTTTCACGATATAGATAATGGGAAATTTTCACAATTTTTTTTACCACGTGACAGACCGACAAAGTGAGAAGAAAAATTTTCCTTCTTTTCAGCTCGTAATTTTCTATACATATATAAAAACTCATAAATTCAAAAAATATAGTCATTATTCAAAAATAAAGATTTTAAGCTTTAAAATCCTTTTTTAAGTTTTTATTTTTAACGAAGATATTGTATACAGGGTGTTTGAAAACACTAAATCTTTCGTATAAGGGCAGAATGGACTTAGAGCCCAGCGCGGTGAGGTGCGCATTCGCCTTCGCTAGACACATAAAGTCTAGCGACGGCAATTGCCACTTATAAACAACGTGCGCTGCATGATCTAATCCTATCGAGCGCTTCCATTTCGCGGTAGGCTGAATAAATTTGACTATTTTCAAAAGTTAATAAATAACTCATTAATCATCGCGGAAATTGTAAAATGGTAGAGGACTTTTCTTAGTTTATTTGCGAAAGATTTATCGTTACTTTTCAAACACTCTGTATACTTTTGAGCTAACAAAATACCGCAGAACTTTTCCTCCAACCCAATATTAAGAGAAAATCATACTGTAAAGTTTATTTAAATATGTTCTAATTTTATTGGTTATGATATATTAGATAAACTATATATAGAATCTTAAGAAACTAGATATATTAAATAATAATGTATTTAATTTGAAAATAATAACTTTGTTTCCAAACACTTGTTTCATTCCTAAATTGTTTTTCAGTTTCTGAGTTTAGATGCTATTGTTAATAGAAATTTGTCATCTCTGCCGAATATGTTGAAACCGAATGTATTCTTAACGATACCGTTTTTAAGATTCAAAAATACCTTTAGATGGAATATTAAATAATGGAAGTATCACCGTAACAACAAAACCGTAACGTACAAAATAATATATTCAAAATAATAAAGTACTAATCTTTAGATACCATTCTATACAATTTTAATCATTAAGACAATCTTAAGTACAGTCTTAAGATGCCATAAATTAATCCGAGGATTATATTATCATCTTAAAACTTTAAGACGGTTTTAAAATAAGAACGGACTATGAATACTGCTCCATGTTTCGCATTTTATACTTCCGCATTATTGACGACGAAGAATAAAAGTAGGCATGGTTTGGTCAAACTGCACACGTCATGAAATCCTTTCACCATGATTTTTATTTAATCGAATATGAAATTGTCAACAATATATTATATTAATTGCAATATATTATACTTTCTAACTAATAACACGATGTATTAATGCTCTCACTGCCCGATTATTAACATTTAATTTTCGTATATATAGAATAATTTAAGATACAAAAGACAATAAATACATAAAAGAAAATCTTAGACTTTATTAGCATCGCCTAATTTAAAGCGCATGTCATTCAGAAATAAGCCCTTCACAACATATTTCAAAGTCAAAGTATAATCCATACTGTGTAAATTTTTCTGACATTTACTTTTTTCATCTTTTTATAAATATTCAAAATTTTACTGGTTTCTTTTCTTTTCTTTCCTTTTTATTTTGACTTTTTATTTTTAGTATTTTATTTATTGTACAGGACAACAAAAATAATGTCATAATATTATATGAATGTTTCATGCAGCCAGGAAACACAGAAGTAAGTAAAAGTTATTGTATACGTGTGTGCTTTATTATTAAATGTACAGAGTAACAAAAGAAAATTATACAGGATGTCCGGTAAGTTTTGACAACGTACTCGTGTGTAAATAGAGCGGATTAAATTGAGTCAAAAAATCCTAGGTAAGACTTTCATATACTATGCAAGTCCAATTTCGATAATTTTACATGTACGTAATATTAACTAAATGTAGTCAAATCCGGATAAATGCGGATTTGCGGAAATGCTTAGTTTTCGAAATATTCAAAATTTATTTAATCAATTTAATTAACATTTGGTAAAACTTTCCCTTTACACAATCCCAAATGACCTTCAAGTGCCCTTGATCCTCAAGGAGATTAAGATCACTGATCATTTCCGTCACTCGTTATTCATTAAAAAGTTATGAACAAAACAATGTTTATGAATAGTATGTAATTTTCAAACACGAGTACATATTTCAATATTTTCTCTTGACAAAGGGAGATGGGGATAGACCTCGCTTTTCGTAGGAAGTCATGCGCCTCTGAAGCAGGAGGGAAGGAAGGTGGGATAAAAGTCGCTTCGCGTGGAAGTCGCGCGCTTCTGAAGCAGGGGGGAAATGGGGTGAAAGTCGCTTTGCGTGAAAAGTCACGCACCCTAAACTGGGGGGATGAGAGGAGGAAGGTGGAGTGAAAGTCGTTTCACGTAAAACTCTAGATATATCATAAGTATTGCATTCCTTTTATCTGAGTGCCAACAACTTTTCTATTGGCTATTTCGATCACCATTTTGATTTAGTTGTCTGTAGCTTAATAGACGCTTAATATTATAGGGTATGATTAGTAAGTCAAAATTAAAGGACCTGTGCGTTACTTTGGTGTATCTAGAATTTTAATTTCGCGTGAAAGTGCGCTCCTGAAGCAGGAAGAGGAGGAGTGAAAATCACTTTGTATGGAAAGTCGCGCGCCCCTGAAGCAGGGGGAGGTAGGTGAAAATCACTTCGCGTCAATATATTAACTTAACATAAAACTATCTAAATATTAAGTAAGCATATTCAAGTTTAAAACTATCTAGTCAACAAAATAATTTTTAATTTTAATTTCTTCATATTAAAATCTTTAAAAACATTAATTAAATCAATAAGTAAATAAAATTTGAATATTTCGAAAATTAAATATCTCCGCATTTATGGATTTGGCAACATTTAGTTAGTACTATATTCCTGTAAAATTTCATCTCGTATATTTAGACCTCATGTACATCCACTCGATTATGTCGCCTAATGCACATTTATCGATCGTGATAATAGGCACACAAGGCACATAAGAAATGCTTTCTTTTTTTGTGCATAAATTGTTGCTGCTATTGTTGCTTGTAGTAAACAAATTTCCACGCGCCTGCCTAGCGATCTACGATCGATAGACATGCATTTGATGATATGCCCTTATTCAATGATCTCGACAAATTAATTTCTTGTTAACTATTACGAAAATTGCAAAATAATACAAAATTTTTCGATTCTGCTTTATTTACACACGAGCGCTTTGTCAAAACTTATCAGACATTCTCTATATGAACACTTTTAACTTTGGTAATTGCGAAAGGATTAAACTTCACTAATAACTTTGATTTGTATATATAATTATAGTCGATATAATCCTGTTAAAGTATAACTCAACATAACATCCTTATGTTGAGTCATACTTTGAATCACATGACGGACTGTTCTAGTTTCTGAGATATGACACTTTAAGTATTGAATTTTTATTACAGAATTTAGTTTTTCATACTGCGTTATTCTGCGTCTTATTTTTTGACATTTTTTGTTTATGTTCGCTACTTCTCTTGTATTCAGTATAATAAAACATCCATCTCGAAGAAATTTAAAAGATTATACATCTTTTTTTTTTCAGTACGATGAAACATTAAAACCTTCGTATATAAGTGTAGATCTATCGGAAGTTGAACTCGCAGAATATGATGGCCCTTCAGCCTCTCCGAACAATTCGCTGTTGCTTGATGTAAGTACAACATTTTAATTATTTTATCATTTTTAAAAAGCATTTAATAATAGCGAATGTTAATAATATCATTCTTTTTAGCTAAGACGCGATATGATTGATCAAAAGGAAGGCGAGACGGACTTCACAATCAAAATACATTATGATGATATGGTAAAAAATTACAAAAAGTATAATTATAAATGTGATAATTAAACGTATATATTGTAGAAATAATAAAATTTTCGTTTTATTGTACAACGTTTTATTGATTTGCAGAAAAGAGTTACAATTAGACGGCATAATTATTTTTACAAACCGATCGAGGGTACACCGTTTTCCTTAGGCTTGGCTCTACCCGAAGGTTATGGCATGTTCGAATTACGAGCCGAGCAAGAAATTAAGCTCGCTATTGTAAATGGTAAATTTTTTATTATAATTGTGTATGCATTGTTTTAAAATAACTTCAAAAAGATGCAGTTTTTGATAACGCAGTTCTTGGATCTCAATGCGAATTTAAACGTTGCATTACAGTAACAGAGTATTTTAAGGGGAGCAACTGGAAGGTGCATCCTGATTGGATTTACTGCGAATATAATTCGGCTTCCGATAAATTCTTTTCCTCCCCGGAAGAACGCGTCCTGCACTTTCTAGCACGGACGCGCAGACCGGGATGGAAATGGATGTCCTTGAGACCAAGGAGTCCTAGCTCGCATCACAAGCAGGCGAGCAAGCCAGATAAAGACTCTTATTATTGTAAGTACATATCGTATTAATTTAATATCTAATCAAAAATAAAATATGAAAAATATAATGTGTAAAATGAGCGAAAAAAGTAAAGTAAGGAAATTAGACATGGATTCGACAGTATAGTTTCAGATAATTTATCATATTTAAATAATTATTATATTTTTCATCAAATGACGAATATACATATGTCACAAATTTTAGCATTTGTTTTAAGTTTTAAACATTTATTAACTATTATTAATTATTTTTGGTTTATTAACAAGAATTGCATATTTTATTGATATCTTTAAATAAGGCTGTGTTTCAAATTTTTACTGCCAGAAAATAGTTTACATCACGTGCACTATAGATTTTCAGTACTGGCAGTAAATTTTGGAACACAATCTAATAAAGTGTGAGATATCAGTTAATATATGTTCTTAAAAATTTATTTAAAATTAACATTATACAGGATGTCTGATAATTAACAATAAAAATCCCGCATAGAGGCAGAATGGATTAAACTAACAACGAAACACACCCAACAGTCTCCCTCTGATTTAAATGAGCTTTTAGTATGTTATTCTATGGACAAAAATCAGAAATACATATTTTTTTATATGTGCTGAGTCGCATCTTGAAGAGGTGGAAACCTCCCTTGAAAAAAATTGATCTTTTTCTTTCAAAGCGGATATCTTCGAAACTATAGAAAAAATTTTCCTATAGAATGAAAATTGAATGACTTCATGAGTATTTTAGAGAACTATAATAAAAAATATTTTTTTAAATCTATAATAGTAATAAGGCTCAATAAATTTAAAAAACAGAAAGACAAAGGGCAAATTAAAAAATATTGCATTGATGGAAATATTGTATTACATATGTAATATTTCCATCGTTTTTGTTTACATTCATAATGATGCAACAGGGATTGAAACGTTTGTTTTGTTTTGTTTTTTTACTGGCAAATTAAAGTTTACATTTAACTAGATGATATGTTTTATTTATTAACGGTTTAAAATTTTTAATTTATAACGATTAATCTTAGACTTGTAGCCCTTTGTCTTCTTGTTTTTTATTTTTTTAAATTATTTTTATATTTTTTATTTATAATAAAAATTATTTATTTATAAAGCAAAAAATTTGTTTAGTGTAGTTCTAAAGTATTCTTAATGTTGGTGATTTAATTGATAATTCGATTCACCACGTGTTGCGATTATAGAATAGAATAGTTATGTTTTTTTTAAGATACGAATTTCTTCTATGTATTACGCGATCTCTATGATTAATTATCCGTTTCCGACGAATGACGCAAAGGGGCAAGAAGACATGGCGGCACGGGTGTAACGGTTAGAGCGCATACTGAACATTCAAAATAAAGATCTTTTTATCAGTAAATCCTGACTAGTCATTTTTTTACACGAGACTTCATCTATTCTATCTAAAACCAAAGGTGGAATGATAACACTTAATGTCATTTATTTCTGCAAATTTTTTTCTATCTCTTATAGTTTCGACGATATTCAATTTGAAAGAAAAAAACTCGATTTTTTTCAAAGGTTTCCACTCACTTAAGGTGCGATATAAAAAAATACGCTCAGCCAATATAAAAAAATACCTCTGCCAATAGAACAACAATTAGGAGCTCATTTAAATTAGAGGGAAACCATTGAGTATGTTCCCTGAGAAGAAGTCTTCTACCATTTCAAATTTTTCGCATTAGTTATTTATGAAAATAGCTAAATTCGCCTGACCTACCGCCAAATGCACGTGCACGAGATAAGACAAGATAAGACCGCCTAATGAGGCGTGTTCGCTGTCCCTAGGCATTAATTCTAATGTCGTTTATAAACAACGTGTCTAGCGACGAAGAACGTGCATTTCTCTAGGCGGTCTTATCTCGCGCTTGCATTTGGCAGTAGGCTGGATGAATTTGAAAATTTTAGCCCATTCTGCCCCTATGCAAGAATTTTAATTATCAGATTCTGTATAAGGATTGTTTTAACACTTTCATAAAATGTAATAAATAACGTTAGATTTCATGAAAAAAAGTCAACGTTACTTAATTAAAATTAAATATGTCCGCGAATGTCTATTTAATGGTTATCACAGTTCTGACTACTCAGCCACCGACGAGACTATTAAAGACCGACATCCTTACGGGAATCCTTGAGAATATTAAAGTGAATAAGTTCAAACTGATAATATTGTATTAATTTTATGATTTATTAGTTTAGGAGATGTATTTATGCAGGAGATGTATTTATTTAGAACTCAATAATACTCGATTTTTCTTTAAAATTGTGATTTCAGTGTTATCGTTAAAGTTTGATTATAAATAGAGATGATAAATGCAGAGAAAAAAATTTTTCTGCAATATATAGGATATTATAACTTTACAAGTATGTACATCTATTTATGGAACATTTATATAATAAAAAATCATGAATTTAATAATGCATAAAATATTTATGTTAATAATATTTATGTTAATAATAGAAAATTTATATCAATTGTCGATAATGTCAGCGTTCTTCAATTACCTCCGGATCTTTTTTAAACAGCCGAAAATTTGCCCAGGGTTGCCTGTCTTTAATAGTATCTCGGTGACCAACAACTCTACGTTGACAGTGGCGACACAGAATCAAACGACGGTCTGGCAAAACTGGTCACACACTTAAGCATGAGCCCATGTCCGTGTGCTCGCCTGCGGCGCGCTGAGAGTGAACGAGACAATAAGCTCCTTCTCACTAGTCGCTTATTTCAAACGATCGCAAATGCTTTCTCGGCAATCTCGGTCGCTCGACGGCTCTAGGCATCAATAAGGGGCAGAAGGCATTCTAAATAACACATAAGTTTCAATAAATTGAAGTAACAGTATATCTCTCTCATTAAAGAATAGTATAAATCATGTTAAAACAATTTATGAAATAATTTAATTGTTTACAATTTTTCATGTGCGTTATATAATATATCTCTTCATAAACTCGAGTAGCAATAGTTCAATAGAAGTAGAATTTTACCGGGAAAAAATTATAAACTAGCATTTCTTTTCATGAAAGTCTCGAAAGTCCATCTCAGAAAAGAAATGCATATGCTCGAAATTCGAGACTTGTGAAGAAAATATGCGAAAAAAAATTGAATAGTTGCAAAAAGCACGTTTTTCTCTTATGAAACGAAAGATATTGATTGGATGAAAAAAAAATCGATATAAAAAAAATGTAGATATTCGAAATAACTACAAAATGAGACGTAGAACATTAAAATCGATCTATTAGTTAAGTAGAAAAAGAAATAAAAAATATTTTTTGATGAAAAAATCCTTTTTTTCACTCGCTCTCTGTTCATTTTTCAACAGCAAATTCAATTTTTCCTTGACAAATGGATGCCAGACGGAACTCTTAATCTTAAAAACTAGGGCCATAGTTTTTGAAAAAAATTATTATCTCGGCTCCTAATAATCGAAGAGTAATTTTTTTTTTAAATTCGTAGAGAAATGTCAGATTTCGAATTTTACATGGCTATTTAATATGATGCATATTAACGAAATTATTTCCATTTTTTTTGAAGATATCTACTTTTTATAATAGTTTAACTGCAAAAAATTGTTTTGTTATTAAGTGTACGTGATAGTGCAACTTTTGAAGAAGAAAAATCACTCCTGTAAATTGTTATGCGACTGCTCAAAGATGAAGAAATTAAGTTTTCCGCAGACAGGTTTTTAGTGAACAAATGGCTTTTTGCAAAAATTAATGAACATTTCAGGCTTGTTCAGGGCTAGATTTGGTTGTCATTACGAGGGCTATTTTTAATTTTTTTTGCTACTGAACTAATAGATCGATTTTAATGTTCCTCGTCTCATTTTGTAGATATTTCGAATATCTACATTTTTTATATCGAATTTATTTCCATACAATCAATATCTTTCGTTTTATAAGCGAAAAACGTGTTTTTTGCAACTATTCGATTTTTTTTCGCATATTTTCTTCACAAGTCTCGATTCTCAAACATAAGCATTTCTTTTCTGATGGCTTTTCGAGATTTTCGTGAAGAGAAATGCTGATTTATAATTTTTTTTCCGGTAAAATTCTATTTCTACTGAACTATTCTTGCTACTCGAGTTTATGAAGGGAGATATGTACTATATAACGAGGTATACTATGTAACGAGATGAAAAATCGTAAAATAAATCTCGTAAATTGTTACGTTTTAACTAAATTCTATTCTGGCTTAAAATGAGAGGGATACACTATTACTACAATTTATTAAAACTTATATATGTAATTTAGAATGCTCCTTGCCTCTTATTGTCTAGGGTCGCCGAGCGGCCGAGAAAGCATTTTCGATCGCTTGAAACAAATAATTAGTGTGAGAAGGAGCTTGCTGTCTCGTTCACTCTCGGCGCGCCGCATGCGAGCACACGGACATGGGCTCATGCATGAGTGTGTGACTACCGGTTTCGCCAGACCGCCGTCTGATTCTGTGTCGCCATCATCAACGCAGAGTTTTTGGCTGAATAGTCGGGAGCCTTAAGACTCTTTATTCGCTATATTGGACCATTATGTGAGCAAGAAATGACACTTAAAGTTTAGGATAAGACCATAAAAGTACGCATTTTTTGTTTTATGCTACGTAACTTATATAAGGACAATTTAAACAGTAAAATGCTTGAGCTATTCCTTATAGTTTGAACTAAAAGTTGGTCAAGTATCAATGTAATACACTAATTTTTATAGACAAATTAATTTTACTAACTGTATATGTTAAAATAAAAGTGCGTACTATTGGGCAAGAGAATATCCATAATATTCAGTTATCATTAAGCTATATAATGAAAACAAGCTAAAAGGTATGCTAGAAACTTTCTAATTTAAATATCAAAATTGCCAACTTTTGTGTACTTTGATTAAAAAGAATCTTATCTCAAACCCTTTAAGCAATATTAATATAGCTTTTTAAACAGTTTTATAGTATTATAATATAAGTCTTATAGTATAAGTGATAATGTCATTTTAATAATTATGATTGTCACATTCCAGGTGACAAGAAACTAGTGCAGTCACTTGTCTTAGATGCTCTGGTAACAGATGGATTCGATAAGAGAGAAGCGCAAAGAATGCACAAGGAGGAGAACGAAAAGTAAGTTCCTCGTCAGTAGTAAGCAAAAATGCACGTCTGTCTTTCATTCTCACCTATGTACACACCAATTGCAAATTGCGATCGAGCACAGCAAAGCACAAGCACGTGGTTTACCATTCATGCACCATGTAACGCCGGTCACTTTTGCAAATTATTCAATTGTCATTTTGCCTTAATTATAGTCCGTAATACATCTTGGTTTGCACAGTTATTTACATGAAGTATAGTAAATAATAAATCTTAAAGATGCAATATTTTTTGATAGTTACCAAGTTTGGAACTCGATTGAATTTGTATATACATATGATAAAAAGAAACTATATATACACATGCAATGTATATGTAGGATATTAAAGGGGAGAGAATGCTCGCAGAACTTATTTAATATAGGTATATACCATACAAAAAAGAAATCGCAGTGCAACAAAAGTTATCGTTACTTTGTAATATGCTAAGTGCATTATGAGCAATCGTCCAACATTTCATTTCACAATATTATCTTTTATTACATATTTTTATTACATTTTATTATTGTGTGTCTCCACCGCTAGCCCTATTGCCATACTGATGGCTCTACTGCACAGGTAATCCATTATGCACAATTATTTGTTTAACACTTTAAACATGTTTGTCGATAATGCACGGTAATATTCACATTGTGATAATTGTATTTAAAATATGCTATTTAAAATATGTTTATTACATTATCTGAATGGATAAAAATATAAAAATTATTGTAAAACCAAATGTTTAATTTGTGATTATATTTATAAATATGATTAAATATATGTATATACGCGTAAAAGTGTATTAAACTGTACGTGTATGTTTTGAATATATGTATATATATGCGTGCGTGCGTGCGTGCGTGTGTGTAATAAATACATATACAGACTATAAATATATACATATATAGACTATATTAAAACTGATCGGTGCAATCGGAAAGATAGTGATTCCTTATGAAGAGAGGTAAAAATTGATATAGATATTAAGAAAAAGAATTAAAGAGACATTTCTTTGTGAAGTAAGTCATTTAAAAGTTAAATAAATATATAAATTAAGATATATAGAGTTTATAGAGTTATAGGACTTTCAAATTTAAAGATATCAGACCTTTTTGTTAGAAAAATAGGGCAAATGAGAATACGTCGCAATATTTGGTGCGTAAAAATTCACAAATTAAACGATTAATAAATTAGAACATAAATATATATTTAGCTTGCTTAAAAGTCGAACGTTTCGGTCACATTTGAGGCCATCCTCAGCGATGTATTCGCTATATTCTCATTTGCCCTATTTTTCTAATAATGTTGAATTTTGAGAGTCCTTATTAAGTTTCTTTATTTCAGATCTTTTTATTTTACACTAGTTTAAAGTAAATATCATAACATAAGAAATAGAGTTAGTATAAATTATTAGTCATAAATTATGAAAAAATATAAAAAATGATCTCAAAAACACATGTTTTTTTGTTTATTTTGGTGATCCTTGAATCGAACTATATAATAAACGATGATATATGTATATACAAGAAGAGAAACGACGAGACATGTGAGCAGTGATGCCGGATTGCCGAGCAACAGCGCACTTCCCCTCTTGCCTCTCCAATGCGCTGATATGTAGTCAATGGTCTAGTTTCTACCGAGAGTTTAACTGTAACAGAGGAATATTCGACTGTAGTTGGTTGATTCTTACATTTTGATTCAGTTTAAATCCACGGTGGCCAATGCTTGATAAACTAGGCCGGACTATATTGGCTCGTGCACACAGAACGCTTGCCGCGCAGTAGAAATTAGTGCGACAGCCAATCAACATCTCGCTTACTCGAAAGTAATAGATATATAATTTCCACCGCGCGACAAAAGTTGCACTCAATCCAACTTTTGCCGCGCGGCGGAAGTAGTATTACATCATTTCTAGAAATTTTGCAAAGTGGAGCCGACTTGAGAACATAGAATTATTTATAAGCTAGTGCAACAATTTCCGTCGCGCGGCAAGTGTTGCCGCGTTCTGTGCAAGAGTCATATCTCGAGCGGCCGGAGCACGCGTTTCTCTCGGCGTGCTCTCATTAGTGCAATTGTAAAAATTAACATCTTTATTATTATTGCCAATATCGCTAAACAGTATGGAACTTTTGTGTTCATTTTGATCCCATCTGCCTTCCTATGATGGGAAAAGTATCACGGGACACTCTGTAATAAGATATTAATCTCAGGAAAAAAATTTTAATTGAGCATAGGGCTTTCGGAGATACAAAAAGTAAGTCATAATGGTCAAATTTCTACTGTTCTTAATATATATTGTCCAAGCTATAAAAAGAAATTAATGTGGTTTCTGCAATATAAGCCATTATCTAAGCTTTGAGTCTTAAGCCATAAGAGATTGACCAATCACAGTCGAATGTGAGAAGAATAATTGACTATGATTGATTAATTTCTTATGGCTTAAACTATAAGTCTGGATCTACAATAGATGATTTCAAACCTCAAGTCGTAAGCAATTTACCAATTACAGTCGAATGCGAGGAGAATAATTAACTGTGAATTGTCTATTTCTCATAGCTTAAGGCTCCTAAATAGTCAAACAGTTACAACCATATTGAATCATGATGTCAAAAGCGAGAAATGACACGTTAATTTTTATTACGTCCCATTTATAAATAAAGACAATTTAGATAAAATAAAATGATGAGATTGCTTTGAAACATTGTAAAAATGGACAAAAATTATGCTTATCCCTCTTGACAATAATCGTAAAAAGTGATAAAAGGCACATTAACTGCTTTTATTCAATGCGCATGCGTAGCTTATTTTCACTTACACGTCTTTTATCACTTGTTTTGATTATTTACTGACAGTCAAGGAGGGGGATAACTATTTCGTCCATTTTTACAAATGTTTTAAAGCAATCTCATCATTTTGTTTTATCCAAATTGTCTTTATTTATAAATGGCATGTAATAAAAATTAATGTATCATTTCTCGCTTCTGACGTCACAATTCAATATGGCTGTAATGACTATTCAGGAACCGTAATGCTTAACAACTTATTGTAGATCTGAAACTAAACTTACAGATAATGGCTTATTGTAGAAAGCTCGAAATATCTTCTTACAGTTCTTTTTTCCTCATTGTGAGTAATTTTAGAAGTGCACCCGATAACATTTGATAGGTATGTATAGGAGATGAAATAGGGTATAGTGGGAATGGAATGTATGTACATTAATTGCTTTCTATTTAAACAAATTCTCTTCACTTGTGACATCCTAATTCAGTTGAATGCACATTCCTTTTGTATTCTGACAAGTGAGATTCAATTGAGTTTTTACCTACAATCTGCACAAGATCGAGATTGTGCTTTACTGAGTCTCATAAATTTACTTTAAAAGTAAGGTTATGAATTTGAGTTGTCATGTGATAATTTTTTACCAAAGTAAGCAAGTAGTAACGTCATTAATCTGAGTATGAAATATTCAGCTTATTTCAGTTTCACTTGTGCGTTTAAGAAACAAGCAATAACACAAGAAAAATATCAAGAGCGCTCTGGGAAAAGCCTGGTCTTCTCCATATTGGTAGACTTCCATCTTACCACCGAGCCATACAACCCTGACGGTAGCTTCTCTGTTGTATTTCCTCTAAATTTCTTAAGTTCGGCCAGCCTGAAATTACATCCGTATGTACAATCTTGACCACAATATTAAACAAAATCCCTATAAGCTCGATCAGCCTGATAACACATGCGAGCTGGAATGTTCCCATAGCATTTTCCCGCGATATTATATTAAATCGGTGTGTGGCTATTGATGCGGCTGTTGTGCCCAATATGGCGCCGAGAGTGTCTGGGCGCTGGCGATTACCAACTAACGGCGAAGAACAATTGGCGGGAAATCGTTAGGTTGCGAATGAACACTACTCACTGATTCTGACTGTTATACCATAAGGCGGTTTAATACAAATTTGAAGAATTATTTAACAAATATAGATTACAAAAATAGAGACGTGATTGCGTGCGTAAGACGGCTCGGATATCGGCATTGCATCGCGAGGTTACAATACAAGAAAATATACACTGAGTATTTATCCGACGACGTTAACAATTATCACAAGACGTGAACGGTGATCGGTATCGATCTCACAGTGAACACAAAGTGGTTCGGAACCTTAACTTCCGAGTCTTAACTTACTAACTACCGTAGAGACTTACACGAGGTCTGCACGCGGCATGCCATGACACCAAAGAGAGCGAAAGGAAGAAGAATCGGAAAGAAGGATCAACTTCAGCGTCGCGACGGACGTACGCAGCGCCGCAACTGGCGCTCGCAACGCCACAGTACTCCCCTCCTAGTGTAAACGTTAAAGAAAAAAATACTGGTTACATTATCGCTAGAACGAAAATAACAAAAAATAAAATTAAATGGAACAAACAGACACTTATACTTATTGGTCGTTTGCTTAACGTAACATTGCGCGAATTAATTCTTAAAACTAACAGTCTTTCGCTTGGTTGCTGGACTAGGATATGTCTTTGGTTCACCTTGCACTGGAATGTTAGTTGAAGACGGAGACGCAGTGGACGGAGTAGATTCTGAGTCTTGGATTAGTACGTAAGCGGGCTTAAGTCTATCGACAGTGGCATTGATGCATTTGCCGTCGACTTCTATAGCAAAGACTTTGTCCGAAATGCGCTCTAATACTTTATGCAGTCTGGTGTATGGTTGATCCAGAGGACGTCTGTTGCCTTCTACTTTGAAGAAGACGTGAGAGTTATACAAATCTTTATGGAAAAATAGCTTAGGTCTAATGTGAGAGGTTGGTCTAGGCCGCAACTTTTGCATAATTACATGAAAATCCTCGACGAAAATTCGTGGGTCGCTCGGCATTTCTTCAAAGAAGAAAAATTCACCCGGTACTTTGAACGTAGTGCCGTACACTAATTCCGCTACAGAAGCGCTTAGATCCTCTTTGAGACAAGTTCTCAGTCCGAGTAATACTACTGGCAGTGTATCAGTCCATTGAGTTTCACCGTGGCACATTAATGCTGTTTTTAGAGAGCGATGCCATCGTTCGATGATGCCATTAGATTCGGAATGGTATGCAGTTGTCCGACAACGTTTAAAACCTATGAGTTTTAATGTGTTGAACAACTGCGCTTCGAATTACGAGCCTTGATCGGTCGTGATCAAGCGTGGAGCTCCGAATTTGGCTACCCAGTGAGTGAAAAACATCTTCGCCACCGTGTTTGCTATACAATCTTGTAATGGAATAGCCTTCGGCCAACGAGTAAATCAGTCAATCATTGTTAATAAATACCTGAAACTTTTGAATGGAGGTAGAGGACGGACGATATCGATATGTACATGCTCGAAACGAGTATCTGGTACTGGGATTTTGGTAGGCGAGGGATGGTTATGCCGATGAATTTTAAATTGCTGGCATGCTAGACAAGTGCGGGCCCACTTTTTAATGTCCTTAGCTATGGAGGGCCATACAAATTTTTGCGCAATTTACTGGTGAGTTGCTCTGCCGCTTGGATGCGACATTTGATGCACCATGTCAAAAACCTCGTCTTCGTAATGGTCCAAG